CAGCTGCAAAGTCAAACACATAAAGCATCTCAACGTAACTACTATTAACAGTTCAAATTTATTTAGTATTTTGTTTGACAATAGCTCTGATTTATTATTTTCAAACACATGTTTAGAGACAGTATTTTACATGTTTTCAAAATCTAACAAAAACACTTGGATATTTCTGTATCACTAAAAAGATCTAGAAGATTCTGGTTTTGTACTATACAGAATCCCACAAAGACTTCACTGCCTCATCTATTTCAATAGTGCATGGACTGGCAAGGACATCGATAAAGCAAAAAACAAAAACAACTTTCACACTTCCTGTGAAATAGAGAATGAAGATTCAAATACCTTGGAGTATACTGCTCTTCAGAAAAACACTGTTTTGCCCTGAAATCACCCTACTAGAAATCAATGATTTGACCAATCTGTGGAGTTATTACCAATGCTCAGAGATGAGAGTTTGACCTTTTTCTTTAAAATAGATGAAATCTCCTGATTACCCAGATGAAATAGAATTGGTACAGTTTTTCAATCATGTTCTGCCCCGTCTCTTTAAAATTAATAGCTTTGCTGTTGTACAAACACTGTTTATTGTGTTTCTTGATTCAAACCCAAACTAGTGGCCAACAGCTCAGTTACAACTGGTGACACAAAATCTCAGTCATGGGGCATGGAAGCCCATCACAACACACAACTGTCTGTCACATACATAGACCAGAAGTCCAGCTGGGGCCACTTCAACTTTCCAGAAGTAAAATTAAAACAAAGAAAGAAATAAAGTCCTTTAAGTCCAGGGGTGGACAAATGAAAGTAAGGAATTTCTAATGTGAAATCATCACTGTAGCAGCTTTGCATAGCTTTAGTTCACAAGGTTTTGTCCCTTTGGGTATAGCATGCTTCTCACCATATCTCAGACATTCATCTGACTCTTAAAACAAGAAAATGTAATGCTTGACAAGTCAGGGTCATTTTCAGTAATATAAATACCCTTGTTTAGTACAAAAAACCATCTACAAAGGCTGGGGTTTAATTGGTAACCATTGTGTGTAAGCTCACAAACATCCCTGATTCTGTGACACCAAATATAGTTTAAATTTCTCTCTCATATGTAGGACAAAACATGAAATGAACACACAACTTACTATTTCTAACTTCAAAACGGTTTCTGAAAAGCTTCTGTGGTCTTTTAGTATGTTTCTGTTGAAACACTTCCTCATCCTCCAGTGAGGTCCTGGCGTAATGCCCAGTAGCAATTGCATCTGCTCCTATTAAGGAAAGAAAAACCAAACATAACATAAAGGCACAAACTTGAAAATCACAGTACAAAACACAATTGCAAACATACAGTAAGAAAAGCAGAAAGCAATGAAAAGAGAAAACCTATAGAGAAGTCTTACACTGACTACAATCATACTCCTGCTATTTAAATAATGCAAACTATTCACCAGCATGCCAGCACTTGTGCTTTTGTACTTTAGGACCACCTAAGAATGTAAAACTTAATGGTCAGGTCAATGCAAGTCCCCAAAATAAATCTGTTCCTACATATGAGCAACCTAATCTAGTGGAAGATGCCCCTGCCCAGGGCAGGGGAGCTGGACTAGATGACCTTTAAAGGTCCCTCCCAACCTGAACCATGCTATGATTCTTTATGTAAAAGCAACCTTAAAATCACATACTTTGCAATGATTGACACACCACTAAAGAGATATGAGTTAGGCATGCACATGAACTCAAGTATGTCCCCACCTTTTAAAGAGTTTGTTTCCTTTAAGAATTTCCATGGCACACACTCTGTACTGACACACTTGAAAATGCCTTACCAAGGTTATCCATAGCATAATGCAGAAAGTAGTTGAATTTGATGTGCTTGTTACACAAAATATCGGGATTAGGCGTCCTTCCCAATTCATACTCTTTTAAGAGGTCACTGTAAAATAAAGACTCAAATGTCTATCAGAATCATTGATGTGCATAAGACTATCAGAAACTGGACAGTGCTCAAATATGAGAAGCTGACTCCCAGTCCCAGAGAAGACCCAGTCACCAAAAACATTTTATGTCAGAAATAATACATCCACTAGATTTTGCTGTGCAAAAAAACAATGTTTGGAAGATCTACAAAGTGCACTGAGGACAGGATCAAGTTACCACTTACAAGCTTGTAACCCTGCTTTATTAAATGAATATTCCCTCTGGGCAGATGTGACTGTCCACTGTGCACATCCTACTCATCTCTCACAGAATACTTACCTTCAGAATTAAACAACACTATTTATTTTTCCAGTGGGACAATTTGGTGGTACACACCAGGAGAGTCTCAGCTGAACAGACAGTAAGTAACTTCAGCTGCAATAATGTCACCACAAGCAGTCACTCATGGGGCTTAATTTTAGAGACTTTTTCCTGTCCTTTTTTTCCCCCTCCAAGAAATTCTAAGTTTCTCAAAGATACGTTACAGTTTTACACTGCTGCATAATTACTTAGAAAACGCTGAAATAATAACTAATGAAATTAAATCAGCATGCAATGTTACCCTGAGATATCAAAAGGCCTTATCAGGTTATCAAATATCAAAAGGCCTTTGTCAGTTGTTGTCAGTAGCCACTGCACTCAAGAAGAACTGAGGGCACAGACTGGATTTAAAAGAATAGCAGCAATCCTATTATTTGGTTTTACTTTTTTCCATCTGAAACAGAATCAATTAATTCTTCTTTACCATGTGACACTACATTAAAAATAGAAAATAAAGCAACATATCTCTTATTTTCTCTAACTCCTTTTTAAAAGTTCTGAATTCAACAACTCATACTAATAATTAAATCACCTGGGTCTACCCAGAGCTGGCTCACACTGACTCTTATGGTACCCCAGGAGTTCTATAAAGGAGTCACCACAACACCCTCACACCAATTCAGACTTCTAGTAAAGCACAGAACCAGAGAAAGGGCAATGAAGGGCGTCTGCTGGATCTCTCTCTGACAGAATGAACTGAAACAGGCTTTGCATAAACCATAGAAAAGACAAGACCTGGAACAGTTCTCACGATAAAAGGTGTTTTATGGTGAATAACTCTTTAAAGACAGATCCAGAGGAGGAGTATATTTAACATCAGTGATGACAGTGAAGAAAAAAAGGTTCTGAAACAAATGAAGACACTTGTAATAGAATGTAAGGAAACACTGTACTAATAAACTAATAAAAAGAAGTTTTGTAGCACTTACTCATTCCCTCACACCAAAAGGGGAAAAATTGAGAGAACGTTCCCAGAAAAGAGCTGTTTTGCTCTTTTCTTCACTGACTGTCCAAAAGTTTGGTGCTCAGCTTAATGACATTTCAGCATGCAGCATGACCAGGTTATTCCTCAGTTTCATGTAAGGCAATAACAGCACTACTTAAAGGGGGATGATAAAGACCAGGGAACATCTTTTATGCACATATGTCCAATGCAGAAAGATAAATTATGCTGTTATACCAACGTGCCCCTTCTTGTACTACCTTTCACAAAAATCTCTCAGCTTTTCCTACGTAGAACTTCACTTAAAGCACAACAAATTCACAGAAAATCTGAGCACCCTCTTTAGAGAACAGCTTCAGATTTGTTCCAAGTTTAAAGAAGCAAGGATAGGTCACAATCATTTTGTGCTAAACTGGATTCAGTACACATTGTGTAAAATGCACTGTGTAAGTTACACACAATACAATAACAGTACCCCATTAATTTTATTTTCAAGTTGCTGTAAGGTTGGGCCAGTACATCAGCAGCTGAGCAAATAAGCTGCAACAAAGCAATTGCTAAACACTCACGCAAGCAGAAATCTCTTACTAACCAAAAAAAAAAAAAACCATAGTAAAAGCAAAATATAAATTCTGACCTTAAATATAAACAAGAGAAAAAAGAAATTCCTCAATATTTAACAGGCTTCATGGCTTTCTTTTAGCATTGATAAAACTGCAATGAATTGCCATTGCTCTTTATCTGCTCATTCTTCCTTTTCATTGTAACAAAATACCACATATATAACAGTATGTTATAGACCATACTATACTGAAAGACCGGCTATTGTAAACGTGTTTCTACCTGAATACTTCATTCCAGTATTCCTTCACGTAGGAAACCTGGTGAAACGGGATATCAAGCTTCTGGCACACCCGATAAGCATCTTCACAATCTCTGTCAATGGAGCAAGCTCCCTGCTCATCCAGAGGGTCCCAGTTCTTCATAAACACACCTGTCACCTGGTAGCCTAAGAAATGAAGGCAAGAATGACTTAGAAAGCCAAGTTCTTACAGCCTGAACACAAAGCCTGTGTTGCTCAAGAATGGCTTTAATAACTACATCTTACCAAAGACGCGAGCAGCCCTGCGCTACGTTTTGCAGCGCAGTTACTGCACAGCTGGTTTTCACTCTAGGTAATAGCTAACCCAAGCTCTTCCAGCAACCCAACGCGACGGTAAAGTCACATCTCCCGCCCGCTCTGCCGCCCCCGCGGTGCCCGGCTCTCCGCGCTGCCCTGCCCGGCGTGAGGCCGCTCCACCGGCCCGAGGGGCGGCGCCGGCCGGAGCAGGCTGCGCGGGGAGCGAC